CGAGGCTGAGATTCAGGGAGAAGAAAGGCACTTGTGGTGCGAGTGTGGCTGGGCCGCTAGAGAAATTTGCATCGTGTCAGTGTTAGGCAACGTTCCCGATGGAATAACGGATTGTACGTACGCGACCCATATTTTCGCTCATTCGCGGCGCATCCGGAGTAGTAGCAGGCGGCGAGTACAAGATGTTCTTGAACGCAGAAAAATCATTAAACGTGAGCGAGAAGCCCTTGACCGTGGTGAGCGAAGCGGATGGGCGGGACATTGTTTAAACTAGGTGAGTAGAGGGGCGGGAGTGGGGTAATGCAGACTTTGTGCGGTTTCCACCGGAGTATATAGGGGGAGAACGCCATTGTGCACGCGAGAGACGAGTCGTTGACGCGTGGGGGTGTCGAGGCGCTATCCATGATCAAAAGAGGTTCATTGTCCTTTGTTATGACTTGTGGGCGTTATTTGGTGGGCGTTGTCGGGGTGTATGCGTGCGATTGATGCCAGCGATGAGGTGCGCATACATTCTGCGTATCTTGTTTCACGGTGCGTACCATACCAGGTCCGCTGAGCCGTCGGGCCCCGCGACTCGCGCGAGTCCGGCTAACAGAGAGTGGATACAGTGGCAGTGACCGGCGCTTTGGCAAGCGCCGAGCCGGTATTTCATGCATGATGATTAGTCGCACAGACCAGGAGTGGGAGGGGCTTGAGAGCAGGCGACGGCTCGCAATTTGTTCGAAATACGGAGCGTCGCAATCTTGCTCTCAACTACCACCAGCTTTTGCCCCCCGTAAGAGCACAACCCGCAACCCAGCTCATTTTTCGTACTCTAATCGACACATAAACTCGTACAATGGCCCGTACCAAGGTCAGTAATCGTTCTACATATATTACAGCCACACCCGATGTCGCACTCGTCGCCGTTGCGGTCGTGGCTTGCCCCGTCGTCATCGTCCGAGTCGTTAACTGACTTTATCGCCTATTTGTTTCCGGCATACATCCGGCCGATCCCGCATCGCGCCCCACACCGCCCGCCACGTCACTCGGCCCTGATCCGCCATCGATCCCGCCGCCGACCCGACACCGCCACACAAATCCCGCCCTTCCAAATATGGAAATGACCAAACACAAACCGACGCATCAATACAGCAAACCGCGCGCAAGTCTACCGGAGGCAAGGCGCCCCGTAAGCAGCTCGCCACCAAGCAGGCCCGCAAGAGCGCGCCGCAGACGACCGGTGGTGTCAAGAAGCCTCACCGCTTCCGCCCCGGTACCGTCGCGCTCCGTGAAATTCGTCGGTACCAGAAGAGTACCGAGTTGCTCATCCGCAAGCTGCCGTTCCAGCGTCTTGTGCGTGAGATTGCTCAGGACTTCAAGACCGATCTGCGCTTCCAGTCGTCGGCTGTGCTCGCTCTTCAGGAGGCGAGTGAGGGTGAGTCATCATGCGCTACAAGGCTAGCTATATGCTCACCACGCTTTACAGCCTACCTCGTTTCGCTCTTCGAGGACACTAACTTGGCCGCCATCCACGCCAAGCGTGTGACTATGTACGTCGGATCTTGTTGTCCCGTAAACTCAACCACTTATCTTTCATTGTAGCCAACCCAAGGACCTCGCCCTCGCCCGCCGTCTCCGTGGCGAGCGCTCTTAAACGCGTTCTGAATCGATTCTAGCCCTATGCACCCGTCTGTTTATTCTCCATTTTTGATGTCTGTATTCTGGTGCATCTGGCCTTTGTGTTTGTGTTCTTTATAGTGTTTGTATTACTTGGATTGAAGGCCCCGGCTCACAACACCGGATGGGAAACTTGTATCTAAGTGCTTATATGAACATTTTGTTCTGTGGATTGCTAGACGAACGAAGCGCGTATTGTTGATACCGAACGAATCTTGGGTAAGGATGATAAGGTGGGGCTAGATTGCTGACGGACCAATGAGGTCATTCCAATGTAATTTATTTCGCGCGATGATGCGTAGCTCCACACCGGGCTTGTACCGGGCCGTTCGGCGGTTCGGAGTCGCTTCAGAGCTGTATGCGTCGACTTTGACGTGATGTTCATCCCAGCTTCCCATGTACGCAAGCCAACCAACCCAAACCAAGATACAGGATAGGGGTAAGTATGCCCACACAAACCCTATGATCAAAGCCTGAGTGAGCGAGTTTCAGCTTTGGCAACAACGTCCTTTGAAGATTTCGAACAAAGATAGTACTCCCTTCAAACTAACGGGGCAATTTTTGGCAGTAAACGGAACGCGCGAGCCGGCCTGTATACGGGAGGCGCTATCATCTGCAAGCCCGGGTAGAAAGCAGTATTGTATGCCGAATCTCTTGCTTTGAGGCGAGCTCCCAAACATTGGGTGCCAAGTCAGGACGGATTTTCGAGGCGAACATGGGATATACGCCAATGAGCTCAGGCGACGTGAGCGAGCACGAAGATAGCCATTGTCTGCGCCGAGCTAAATACCCAGAATCCGATTGTTTTCAGAAACTGTATCCATATAGCTCATGATTGTACCAGTGTGCTATAGCTTGGCTTGCTGGTCGTTCCATGCATTACTTGTGCTATCCCGACCTCAGTTGGTTGAGAAATGAAGTTTTTTCCTCGGATCGGCAAACCAACATTTTCGGCGCTTGTGGAACAGAGTTTTGTAAATTACTAAATCCATATAGTAGGCACGTGACAAAGTGATTGCTTAATTTAATATTATATATAATTAATTCCAGACGACATACAGCCAGCCTCAGTATCGATGTTGAAACAATGTGCAAGAAATCAAAAACGAGGGCCGTGGGGCACAGACGACTAACATTTCTCCTTACTTACGCCTTCACTACTCGTTCATAGGTGCGACTGGCGGCGGCGGCGTAACAACGCGGGGCTCAGGGGTAATGTTTCTCGGACCTCGTAGTGTTGGTCCTGCAGCAATCGCCTGGGCTATAGGTCCGTTTGAGCCCCGAGTGTGCGCTTCTGTAGGGACGTTGAGCGGCTCTGGACGTCGTAGGGGACCTCGAGCGGCCACGCGACGTTCGATTTTGCCGCGAGCTTGGGCTTTGTCACCAGGTTGCGGTGGGGAGTCGTCGGGCTCGTGAGTGTACAAGATAGCCTGGAGTGACTGCGGAGAGCTCGTATGTGTCTCGGCACTTTGGTAATCCTCATTCTGTTCACTACTAGTTTCGCTGCTTTCAGATCTGGAGCTTGTATCCGTCGGGCACAGTTGAGCTTAGCTGTTCTATGAATCGAAAGCAGCAGCGAATTCTCACATGTGAATTAACATTGAACTTTGACTCCCGCCTGTACTCAACACCTTATGGTCGCCGATATGCTTCAGTGAGACTTCGTCGCTGTGTTCTGTGGAATTCATCTGGGAATTTGTTAGACTCAAGGATGACGAATGTGGTTAGTTGAATGTCTGACCTCTGTTTGGGAAGATACTACGTGGCTAACAAAGATCGAAGCCTTCCTGGCACAGGTACTTCGTGCAGATAGCAGAAAGAGGACAGAAAGCCTGGGGCAAGGGGCAAGGGGCAAGGCACTAGCCTAGCAGAATATAAGTACTGTGTGAACGCGTGCCTTGTGCATGCACAGATAGATCAGACCACGCTCAGCCAAGTAACGCTTGCAATGAGTTATGTCAAATTGTTTCGAACATGTCTGAGAAACCTGTAGTCTCAGACGTCATGATAAGCTGCTAAATGCGGACTCATAGGGGTGTTTATGACTGCTGGCTGAAGTTAAATCGTGAGCATACACGTGTGTTTAAAGATTTAAGCATATTGCCTTTAGTTTAGCTGAGTGAACTACGCATATACTCAGATGCAATTAGGTGGGGTGAGGCTTCGGGTGGCCAAGGTGTGTCAATAGAGCAACGCGAGCTTTACCTCCGATATGATCGGTGCTCGAATCACTCTTGAGCCATAGCGTAGTAACCGAGCTTTTGCCCACTCCAACTATACACGAGTATGCAAGCAGGACTGATAGAACAAAGTCGGGAAAGTGCCCAGCGCCAGCGGGCACGACTCGTGGGTATTTAGCTGTTCACGTATCACGCGGACAGCATTTGTCTATATCTATGCGCAGTGTGAGAGCGAGATTGAACATCTGGATACATAAGCAGTGTCCGTTTGGGCTCTGCCATAAGGACTGGAGCCACTTCGAGACGCCAATCAATGATGAGCTATGAATTGGGCGACCAGCGCTTTTTGTGCACGCTGACGCGGCGTGTTCTCGCACGGCTCCACTGTTCTCAACAGATCTATCAGCGATTAGATATCGTCTGAGCTAGCCAAACAGAAAAAAGATGGACAAAATGTGAGAGAGATATAAATGGGAGTTTGTATACTTGGACTCAAATACTTGTGATTTGTTTACTATTTCAAAAATACAGCGATAGCTAGTAGATTTAGTAGATTTATTAGGCATATGTGTAGAATATATAAGCTGCAGCTGTCCTCGGAATTAACATGTGAAGGCTCGCGCCTTCTCGATTACTTATACCGCAGCCCCTGAGATAAGTGCCTTATGCGCCCTCCTCTATTTTGTCGCAACTCTTTCTCTTTTTCTTTCGTCCTCACTTAACCTCATGTAATGTCGTACCATAGGGCTCCGTCCCGCAGCGACAATAAGTACGTGATTAAAAAACATGTGAGGGGTGGAGGATGTCTAAATAGTAAACTAGATTAAGACCTAATTCAGTCGCGCAAGGTGAGCTGCAAGACTGGATACACCCGAAAGGGGTAAAGACACACAAACTACTGTCTGGGCAAGCTTGTCACACAACATAATACTACATACTATCCTCTCTGGCGTCTATGCTACCGATGATAGGGGTGAGGAGTCGAAATCACTCCTTGCGACTATGCCAACGTTTTTACCTGATCTGAATGCAAGCCCTTATAGCTCAGTGGTAGAGCGTTGCACTTGTAGCTTCTGATTAATCAGTGCTACGTCATGCAAAGGTCCATAGTTCAATCCTGTGTGGGGGCACTCCTTTTGCCCTTTATCGATACGTTGCAATGTCATTTATGTATTGGGCTGGTTTCGTTATGATCCCCCACCGGGCCGCGCAATGTGCACCTCCGGGCGGATAGCGCCACGTGACGAAACTCCGTAAGTCCACAAGTGAAAAGGAAGTTTATGTTTTATCTTTCTAGACTTGCTCGTCTTCTGAAGCCATTGAAATGCTATTTAAAAGCACTGTTGCAACTGAGACCTGGCCGAGACGCCCATACTAGAATCTTAAAATACATCGATGGGCGTTCAGAGGCTGAAATATCGAGCGCTGATGGCTCTCGTCAGTTGTGACGTATACATCATATAAATTATGCAACTAAGTACCTCTGTTGTCGTATTCTCCCTGAGAATTGACGATATACGTTGGAGAATAAGCCAATCCCTATGGTTGCCTCAGATATTGGTTCAGGGCGTCTCAACCATTGTTTCAGACATTGAAGGTCTACTAACTCTATGGGTTCTAGCCAGTTATCCGAGTGGCGTGTTCAAGGAGAAAACCGGCGACCGAGAAATCAACTGAGTTATATGCAAATCGTTCATTCTTAACAAACCTAGTTGAAATGTTGATAACAAAATTGGTGAAGGTGTCTGGCTTTGCTTTGAAATGCCGGGGAATCTACCTAACTGGTAGTTCTCACGAAAGCTGCCCTCTAAGCCCAGTTATCCCGCTATTGATACGCATTT